CAATGCTCCAGCATTGTGCTGCGATGCAAAACACCTGCATCCATGCACGTCGCCACGTTGAAACATACCCTGAATGAATTTTTTTTTCCCACACATTTTTTCGCCAGCAGCTGTATCCGGTTCTGAACAACGTCAGCAGTACGTGAGCACCGGGTTCAGGCCGACTCATCGCAGTGGCAGGTGGCTCGGCCCATCCGGGTCGCAAGACCTCCGGCCTGGGCAGGCGTTAGCGCTGTGTTTGTTGGACGGCCACGGAAGGGCAACGGCCGTCCCCAACCCAGCCCAGGCCCTGCGACCGCGCTGCCCCCGGCATGTGCGCGTATGCCGTCGCGCCAGTACCGGGACCCAAGACCGTCGGCACGCCGATGACTTGCTTGATTCCCCAACTTCACCGGTGCCTGAGTGCCCCGCGTCGTTATTCTTACACAGCAATCCGAGGCCTTCTGCCCTGAACCCGGTGGACGACATCGACCTCCTTGCCTTCACGAGCTTCGCCATCCCGTGCCGACGCTGCAAGGAGTGCCCGTGCTTGTGCGAGCAGGTGTGTGCCAGGATGCACCAGGGGCTCGCATGCAGCCTCCAGCACTTCTGGGGTGCTTACAGCGGACCGCCCGATGATAGCATCCGAGCACGTGCTTCGGCGACCACACCTCATTTTTTTTTTCGGACCTTCTTCCGGCAGCCCAAAGTCCTAAACGGAAGTGCCGACCTGGCCCTACGGAGACGCACACACCAAGGCACTAGCGAGGCCCCTGGCGGGTGCCAACAGGCGGAAGCTGCCACCGTTCGTCGGCGAGGACCTCGTGCAGATCCGGCGGCTCCCCAGCGACGTTACATTCGCCCGCGAGCGGAAGCTCCAACAGGGAAGCTGCGACGGGGCGCTGTGCTGCGACTGCGAGGAGCTTCGACCAACGGGCCTGCACGTCGGAGGCGCGCTGCCCGGCGAGCAACCGGAGCCAGGTGGCCGCTTCTGCGCCGAAGGCCCCCAACCTCGACACCAACTTCCACCAAGCGGGAGCGACGAGCGCGCACAAGCTCGGGGTAGGTCTGCGTCGAGCCCTCGCCCGGGGTGCACGTCTGCTCCAGGCTGCGCCGCACCCGCCCGGGTCACAGGATTGACGATGGTGGCATCAACAGCCTGCTGCGCGCCGTGCCACATCGACAAATTGTTCGCGACAACTTCGATGCGGCGGTCATCGGAGACCGGAACATCGAGGTTCATGTCTGCGAGGCGGACGTTGCGGGAGACCCGCAAGCCAGCTTCGTGGCACACTCTCGCCACTGCCCGCTCGAGAGGAAGGGCATTGGTGTGTTTGGCAAGCAAGCCTTTTCTCGGGCCAGCCGCACCGCAGCGCACGGGAGCGCTGCACGGCGCCCTGGAGGACGCGCTATGGCGCCATGCCCGCATACGCCTGAATCAAGGCAAAACTCGCGTTGCAGGTGAAGAGCCTGCCGGCCTCGCCCGTCTCCAGCCCACTGGTGCAGAGCCAGTCTGGACGGGCGCTTGGTCCTTGCCAGCGGACCAGCTGCGACTGCTGGTGCTGGGTGCACCGCTTGGGAGCTGCGCCGCGGAGACCCACGACCAACTGCTTACTTGCCTGCCTGCTGCCGGGGACCTGCAGTCCGCGTGGCTCCTTTTGGTATTCTGCGCCTCCCCACGTGCCAACTACTTGCTCCGGATGCTCCCGCCCGGCGCGACTGAGGCTTTTGCGCGTGAACATAACGTTGCTGTGAGTGCATGCTTAGCGACCTTGCTGTCGCAGGACTCCGGGCCTCCGCAGTCTCCGCCTCGCCCCCGCCGCTTACTGGGCATCCTGGGCGGACTGCTTGCCGACCATTCGAGCAAGAGCGCCGCAGGCAGCCGCTCGTTTGGTTCGTGCACTGGAGTCTTCCACCGAGACTGCGCTGCCCCTGTCAGCAGCACGGCACGCAGCCACTTGCCTCCGAGAGCAGGAGTGCGACGCTTTTGCCTGGGACTCCCTGCTGCAGGCACGGCCCGCGCAAGAGGAACGCGAGTTTGGGGAGTTTCTGGGAGGCTGGCAGCATCGTGCTGCCCGCGCCAGCGACAACCGCGCGCTTGAGGTGCTTCTTCCTCACACTGATGCCGCATCTCGAGCGCTGCTGCTGTCGCAGGCCGGGCCACACGCTGCACGCGCTTTTACAGTCTTCCCGACCTCAGCCGAGTTGACGGTGCCGTCGCCACTCTTCCGCGTCCTGCTGCTACGACGGCTTCGTCTGCCACTGCCAGTTGCGCCGCGCACGTGCGCCTGCCGCGGTCGCCTGGACCCGCTCGGTGACCACAGGGCTGCATGTGCGAATGCCGGCGTGCTCGCATCTCGGCGGAGCCGAAGGTGAAGTCGTGCCACTGCAGTAGCTCGCCCGCACGACCGTTGGTGGTCCCAGGCCGCTTAGCGCCCCTGGCAGCGCGGCAGCTTCCCACAAGGGCGGTTTCTGCGTCGCCTGTTCCTCCGAGCGTGGTTTGCAACCGCTCCAACGCTGGCAGGATCTCAGCCCGGGCAAACGAATGCCGACGGTGTTCTGCAACAGGACTTTCAAACGTTCGGGTGCGTATACCACTGACCTTTGGTGCTGGCGGGGCGTGTGTCGCGCGTGGCGCCGTCGTGACCGCTGCCGTCGCGAGAGCGGGTGTCGCAAGGGGCTGTGCGGCTCGGGAGCGGCGTATAGGGTCAGTGTAACCCATCCAAGTGGTGTCGGCGCAGGGGGTAAGCTACGAAAACGTGAGAATATGTCCGGCTCGGCAGAGTACAGTACTTTTTTGCGCAGGCATTTTGTCGGCGTTTACTCTACGCCGGCCACGGTCCTGCGGTAACTGCGGGCCTGGTGCAGCAAGGAGCCGTCCGCTCGCCTCGTCGAAACGCCTGCGCTCTATCGAGCCGCGCTGGGCGGCCCGCACCCATCGACTTCGGGTAAGGCTTGGCCTGGTGGGGGTATGTGCGCCTGGTACGAAACATCCTTGTTCGTGTGTTCCGTTTCTTTTGTGATTGTCGCAGCTCGACCTAATTACAAAATATTATAAATCTACATTTTTGTTTGTAGCTGTCGGAGCTGCCGCCCATCTAGTGGTTACTACGCAAGCACAAAGTTGAGCACCGCCGGAGCGGCATCGAAGGTTGCTGGCTCATTGAAACGAGGCTCCAACGAGGCGGCAGCAAATTTTGTGCAAAGCGTACCATATGTGGCTCCAGCCTTGCGCGCCTGCGGTGCTGCTGGTGGGCTCCGGAAGCAGGCCCGCCGCCGCCTGGCATCGCTGAGCTGGGGGACGATGTTTGGCGCGGCGACAAACCGTCGGCCCAACGCGGGATCGTGGTGATAGGCACGCCGGTCGGGCACGCCGGCTTCGTCCAGGCTTGGGCTGACGCGCGGCTTCAGGAGGAACGCCGTTTGCTCGTCGAGCTACCTCACCTCCCGGACCTTCAGTGCGCCTGGTTGCTGCTGCTGTTCTGCGCATCGCCCCGCGCCAACCACGCCTTGCGAACGCTACCGCCTTCCGAATCAGCGTCGTACGTGCGGGCACACGACCAGGGTGTTTGGGAGACACTCCAAGAGTGTTTGGGAGGCGTGCCGCCGGCTGAAGCACAGCAGGCCTGGCCGGTCGCGTCGCTGCCCGCGGTCTACGGCGGACTCGGCTTGCATGCCGCGGAGCGGACGGCCCAGCGGCGTACTGGGCAGCATGGATGGACGCGCTCCCCGTCATCCGCTCTCGCCTGCCCGGCGCAGCTGATCGTTGCCTGGTTGCTCTGGAGCAAGGCGCGGCAGGCACGATCCCCTGCTTACGCGAAGCAGCGGCAGCGAAAACCGGCCGCAACAACCCTGGGATGCAGGCCCGGGCGAATGGCCTCACGGCTGGCAGTTTCACGCGACGGGGACTCGAAACCTTCACTATCGCGACCGTGTGCTGCTGCCGGCTCTGCAGCCATCCTCTCGGGGCTTGCTACGCTCACAAGGCGGGGCACACGCTGGTGCATGGCTATCGGCAGTGCCGAGCGAACCAGCACTAACCCTCGCCCCGCAGGACATGCAGCTCGCGTTGCGGATGAGTCGGCCCTAACCGGGGACCGACTTTTTGTAGGTGATTTGAAGTCGGATACAGCCGCTGGCGGAAAAAAAATATGCTCCACCAGCGGCAAGGGCCTTGCACAGCCAGCGGGGCTTTGTGGGCGTCGAGGGCAACGAGGCGCCTGAGCAGCACTGTGCCAGCAAGCTGTGGGGAGGTGGCGTGCTTGCGTCGAGAAGCAGTGCGCAGAACTGCTCGATTTTGTGCGGCCGCGCCGGGGCTTGCCAGCACGTGTGAAAGGCGAGACGACGGTCGCATCGCAGCAGAGGGCTCCACCCAGGGGTCCGGCGCCTTAGATGAAGAGGTCGAGGCGCCTGCGGTTGACGCGTCGATGGTCAAATCTGGCTTGGTCTTGAGTAGATGGAACCCACCGGAGAAATGCTTTGGACGCCATTGCTCGAGAATTATACACTTCGCCACATGCAAGGGCTTGACTGATGTGAGCGTCCATGCTTATCCTACTGTAACCTTGGTTTGCGACTCGTTCAGCCACGCATCAATGAACACATGGAGGATGAAATGTATCGCTTCACCAGCCAGCACGTTTAAAATATTTGGGCATGTCGTTGTTAATGTTTGGTCCCTTGATATAACGTTTGGTTAGCTCGTAATTGGCGCATGTGAAACAGCCTGTGAGTCCGCATGTCTGCTCGCATGTTGAGATTTGGTTGGTAAGAAAGTATGCACCGGCAACAGCTCTCTGGCAGCTATCAGTTGCAACCAGCTCCGTGGCAACCATGGCAACATCCATGGAAGCCAGTGGCCGCACACATGCACCGTGCTTGCACAGATGACGGCCGGGTTCTCGGCATTCGGTGCGTACTAGATACTAGAACCATGCCAAAAAGTTGTACTGCCTGAGGCACGGGCTCGTCGATCCCAATGGCTCAGTCAAGCTGCGCGATACCTTTTTCTTGTCACCATTATGGCTGGCTTGTGTGGGTTCGGATTCCTTTGGCAAGTGCACAACGGCCCAATGCAGAGCTATACAGATCCTTGGCCTGCAGTTTTGTCCGTGCTCGCTACACTTCTTAATCAGCAACGGTTTGAACGTGGCCCTGCCATGGGTTGATCTCCCGAGGATGATGTTTCTGCGAAACCAAGTGATCAAAATGCCAACATGCTTGAGCAGCAGTTGCGGAAACTACTTGCTAGCCCGAGCATCCCTGCTACGTCGCCGATCCTTTCGCCTGCCCGTGCCTTCAGTGAATCGACATCAGGCAATACCGAAGCTTGTGTAGCTTGTCCATCCTTAGGTTAGGTTGACCACTGTGACATTCAGCGAAAACCCTGGAGGCATCGCAGCGAACTCCGGCATCTCTGTCGTCTCTGGCATGCCACACTTTGCATCAGAGGGTCCGCTTGATGATGTGGGCGCCCTTCCGGTGTCCCACGGAGTCGCAGACAGCTCCGGCACCGGTTTGGAAGCGGCCGCCGCAGACTTCGATCCATCCGACGAAGGCGGAAGTGGAGGCGATAACGACTGCCACGACACGCATCCCAATGCTGACAGTGCTGGCCTTAGAAGATGTCTTGCAATCAGTGTCCCAGGGTTCGCATGTTATAATCAAGCAGAAAGTACGACCCAGCGCAAGACAGCCGCGAGTACCTTCGCATACCAGACATTTGCTAATAGCTTAGGTCCGGATATGTTGCACGTGGTCTTTGCTTCCGATGAAAATCAGGTGGAAGGCGCCCTCAGCAAAGGTAGTTGCATGCTTCAGGCTTGTGATGTTCTGCTTCCCAAAAGATCGTAGCGAGGCTTGGGTCAGTTTCGAGAAGTCTTTGGAGCCTGTTTGCCTCAGCAAGGTGGCCTTAGCTGGCTTCCGACCGCGTCCCTGATGAAAGGTGTGCAGGCAAGTGTCGCTTCCGTCGTGTCCGCAACGGCATCCCCAGACGAACTGACGATTCACATCATTGTCCAAGCTCGATCTCTCAATACCTTCAAGGACCTGGGAAGTTGACCTGACAGACATCATTAGCAGGTTCAGGGGTGACAGTTTCAGAGCGTCATTCGTGACTTGAATGGACAGGAGCGATTCGGTATTCGTCCCGAGTGCCACGCGACAGTCAGTGTGACCGGCGTCTTGATCAAGGTCCATTCTGCCACTAAGCTTGCCAACGGAGAGAGAGTCAGACCTGAAACAACCGTCTTCGGTCAGTAGTGAAAAGGAAAGACGCATCACACTTACGGCGATAAGCGTCAAGGCAGCATCAGGCTCAGGAATCTTCAGAAAGCCATCGCTGCAGGTGACACACAGAAGCTACAAAATGCACATGAGCTGCAATCGAAGATCGAGAATTAAGCGGATGTTGTGGCATAAAGACCAACCGCAAGAAATTCTCGTTTGAGAGCTGGGCAACATCGATCACATAACTTCGCATACGACTCTGCCAGATCTGACGCTGCTCATCAAATAAGGGACACTCTCGCAACCCATGCAGAAGACTGCAGCTTGGATTGCCACACAAACACATATGCTGCACGAAAGCGTCCCCTGCACGGTGACGTGCACTGCGCCCATCCGGGAATGGATGATGCCCACACCGGGCCAAAGTCCATTCACGTGTAACGTGTGTCGGAATCCTACCACCGTGCACTTGCACGTCACACTCAAGATAGGGATGATATGCCAGGAAAGGCCTCAAGGAAGACACGGTCACAGCTTCTGAGTGGTATTGTGCCCATGCCTGATTCTGTACGAGCGGCCGGACTACCGACCTATTCCACTGCAGCTGCGCCGCTAGAGCACCCGGCACCACCCCACAAGCAGCCGGCAGAAGACCGCCACTGGATTGTAGCTGCAGCTTCACGTCGTGAGCCCAAGACCCTGGCGAGTGCACAGCAAAGTGAAACACCCGACTAGCCAAAGTACGAGCGTCATGCGTGCCGCCAGCAGCACATAGCCGGCCAAATAAGCTGAATTGCAACCGGCGAACTTCAACTGACAGAGGGCGCCAGCCCAACTCGCCCACAACAGCCGCTCCGGGTGTGCCCCGAGGCCACAAAAGCAGACGGCGCCCAAATTGACGCATTTTCTTGTCCAGCATGCGGAGGGCAACATCATCTAAGAATTGAGAGCCGTACAAGAGCGATGGTAGCACATACGAGCGAAAGAGACTCGCGCGGAAGCTGGTGCACAAACCTCGGTTCTCCGCCCAACCCAGGCACAGATGGAACTTGCCAGTGCTCTTGTCAATACGGTGCGCGGCATGCTTGTGCCACTTCCTGGAGGCTTGGAACACCACCCCGAGATAACAGTATTGACTGACACATGGCACTGCGGCTCCCCGAAGGTGGAACCTGAAGCTAGAGGAACGTGAGCCGACCACAAGAACAGCGGTTTTGTCAGGACCAATGCCAAAAGAGAACCGCCACTGCGAGCCCCATGCGCCTACAGCGGTGAGAGCACTTTGCAAGTCCGACGGGTTGTCGGCAAGGATGACAAGATCATCAGCGTACAACAGCAAGGTGACCCGCGGTGCATTGGGACCGCTACCAAGCGCGACGCCTGGGCAAGCTGCACGAACAGCTTCAGCAACGCTGTCAAACAGAAGGTTGAACAACAGCGGGCCCAAGACACTGCCTTGCCTAACCCCAGCCTGTTCCGACCAAGGCTCAGAAAAGGAACCGTTAACAGAAACTCGCGCAGTGGTATTGGTGATCAAATCCGCAATGACTGACCACAAGCATCCTGTGACTCCGGCAGAAGCCAGCTTAAGTAGCACAGCATCCCGCCATGCCACGTCGAAGGCCTTCCGCACGTCCACAAATGCACAGAATGTGCGACGACCCGCCCGAAGACGAAGCGTTTCTGTCAGGGTGTAGATTTGCTCCTCAGCCCCCCACCGGAACCCAGCCTGACTCTCATCGAGCAAGGGATCAATGTGCGGCAGCAATCGCTTCAACACAAGTCGCTCAAATATCTTCTGGCAGCTGCACAACAAGCTGATCGGCCGATAATTCGTGAACTGGTCTGCAGCACCACCCTTGTGGAGAGGAGCAACGACAGCAGAACGCCACACAGTCGGGACGATCGACCAAGACCGCACAAGCTCGAAGAATACCAACAGCGCGGAGCGTAAGCACGGATCCTCAACCCGGAGTGCTTCGTAGGGCAAGCCATCTGGACCAGGAGAACGCTCACAGGGAAGCTCCTGCAACACTTGAAGCAATTCAGCCTCCGAAAACGGAAAGTCAAGGTGACCAGTGTTAGCAGGCATGGAAGCCCTCAACTGTCGAACCGCGCCTTCAACATCAAATGATTGCGAATCGGGGTTCACAACAGCAGGCCGAGCATTCAAAGGCACGTCGCGGAAGTGAGCACGCCAAGCATCTAAGCAAGCTGGACCTTCAATAAAGCTATCGTGAGGGTCAGATGAACGCATGGCACAAGGTAGCACACGCCGTCGCATCCCCATCTGCTGACGAATGTTTTGCGCTGCCATGCGGGGGTTGTTACGGGCCAATTGCTCCTGCGAATCAAGCCACGTATTCCAGAACTGGGCCTTCTTGCGACGCACAAGATGGTGAAAACGAATCCGCTTGGCACGAAACTCTGCTCGAGCAGCAGGTGTTCTCTCACGCTGCCAAAGCCGATAGGCCGCGTTTCGTGCAACCATCAGGTCGTAACACTCAGAATCCCACCAGTCTGGCTGGGGACGACACGGAGGTTTCATGTAAGAGACCGAAGCTTCGCCCATCGGTTTTCGCAACCCTGCTGCTCAAGGTAGAAGGCCAACTCATCGAGAAGGCAGTGGCGAAGGTTTCGTCAAGTTTGCGCAAGGAGCGGGGCTAGGGCCAGGGCGGCTAGGGTAGTCGAGCATCTGAATAAAAGTGGTGGAGGGCGCAAGTCTTGCCCTCAGGAAAGAGGAGCCATTGACACACCGGAGAACTTCGCCCGGTTTTACATGCATTTGATCTTGGAAAGAGCCGCTGCGCCCTCAGTGTTCAAGCGAGAGGTGCTCAGCTTCCGCATGCCAGCCTCCTGAGGTTGTCATCTACTTGGACGCAGATACAATTGTCCAGGCCGGGTCAGCAGGGTGGATTCACGAATCGGGTGGGAATGTCCAGCCTGCCGCGCAGCCAGCAAACTGGCAGGCTGACCTTGCTGAGCTACGCAAGCAGCTGCTGGCCAGTGGGAAAACCATTGGCTTCGTAGCGCGCGAGAACGAGGATTGACCCGACATGTTGTCAATAAGCACATGTCAAAAGTCGTTTTATGCTTGTGTGTGCCAGGTCAGAATGGACAAATTCCTCAGAAAGCGACTCTTCTGCATCTTGGATGCTGCTGACTGATAGCGGGGCAGAGGAGCAAGAGAGAGAGAGAGAGAGACAGAGATAACATATTGGCCCCACACCAGTCGGGGGCGCACCTGCGCACGGTACAAGGGGTAAAGCCCATATACCATAACCCTGGCGAAAGAAAGAAAGAGATATACCGCGCGGGGGCGGGAGGACTGCTCCGGCTCCAAGCCCCTAGCAAAGCAAAGAGACAGAGATATCTTGCACAAGGATGACACGCACAAATCGAGAAGTGTACCAAGCTTTTCACCGACACCGCACACGAACCTCAGCGTTGTGTGTGAGCGCGGGGTGCCAGGGATTCCCTGAACCCCCACGCTGTGCAAGCACGCAGGTCTAGAGAAAAATATGGATGGGCCAAAGGTTTGGGGGGACTGAGGCGGACCTCAAGCCTGCAAAGCAAAGAGGGAGAAGCATCCTCCTGGTGGACTTATGCCGACGGGTGGAGGATGTCAGATATTCTGCCGAGGCCCAAAGGTTGCAGCGCGCAGCTTGGGGCGAGCTGGAAGACGTTGCACGGCGCTTGGTTGTCAGGAACCATTTTGGGTCTTAAGGATTTTGGGAGCCGAGGATGTCCCTCCAGGCGTACAACGTGGGAGTCTTCGCAGTCAATCTCCAGCGCTGGAAAGACCAGCACGGGGCCCCGGAAGGCGCTACAGACCGCTGCAGCTTCACATTCGAGGTGAAAAATCGATGGAGAGAGTCAGATAGAAGTTCTCTCTAGTACTGCACGCACATTCCGGCTCCTCCGTCTTGGTTACGTGATGTGCGAGGGGCAACTTCGCGTACTTCAGTCACGAGAAGAAATAGAATTGAGCTGCTTGTCAATTTGGCCGGTGACCCTTCAAGGGTCTTGTAGATCAGTGTTCAGAATCCCAGCGAGCTCATAGGCAGGACTTGGTGTGCTCATTGTGGTTACGCTTCTCAAGGGTTGGCTAAGAGGCAGACAGGGAACAAATCGAATGTTGGGATAGTAAGACGTGTCGTACTGCCGCGGTTTTAGCAAAACCCGAACAAAGCGCAGTTTCACGCCGAAGAGAAACGCGCAAAGGCAGTGGGGGAAATGGGGATCACAGCCGCGTGCATGCCCACGAAAGAGACAGCGGGTGCAGAAAGTGTGGTTAATTAAACTCAGGACAGGGATCAGGTCGAAGGAGAATTGACTCCTACTGTTGGATCGTTCTTGGAATCGTAATGTCTTTGAGTCTAACTTCGATCCGGCAGCCCGCAGATTGGGGCACGGCATTTTGACTTGATCGCGAACTGCACTTGGGGATCGAACTTGGCATTGGGAAGCTGAATGAGCTTACGAGAAAAACCTCCATGGTTTTACGAGGACAGCCCGCGGACATGTTCATCCCAGACACTGCTTAGAATAAACACCTTGAGCTGCCAAGAGCCGGCAAAGAGTGAGACCAAGACGCCTTCAGCCTTCCAAGACGCCTGAGGCACGTTGTGGAGAGGGTGGAAGAGCTTGTCACGCAGCACAATCGCTGTGCCGGCAAGCTCTGGGCGCTTCGGATTGAGAACGGGTTTTCATCGTTTAAAGGAGGAGAGGTGCAATTTGTTCCCGTAGATGATTGCGGATCTCAGTTATTTTCGTGGTTGCTCTTGTTTCAGTTCTTGGTTCAGTTGCTGATGTATTGCGTTGAATTTGTTAGTGGGAATCGCTTCCTTTTTGCGCCAATGACCAAGTTTCACAACAAAGTTTGTCTGCATGCATCCAGAACTTTCACCACCTGTCATATGCTGCAGGGGGCCAGCACATGGTGTCGTGACACTGGTCCACGAAGCTGTTATCCACAATGCGAGATGAGGATCCCGAACCTTCTCACAGTCCACCATCCTTTGGAAGTGTGGGTTTTGGTATTTCAAGGCTGTGAGTCCCCGGAGCATCGCGAGGGTTTGGAAAAACGAACGTCTGAGACAGCGAAAGCATCGAAGTGCTCCCAAATCCCAGGTATCGAGAGGCCCTAAACAAGCAAGGCTGCGGAGCCGCCATTATGGCAGAACCATAAGGAATGCGTCGCAAATTCTATAAGGCATACCAAGCTGACATTTCGCGGTGTTTGGCACTGGAGCTCCCAAGCATCAAGCCAAACCGTCAAATGAGTCGTATGTATATGTACAAATATACACATATATTTATATATACACATATATTTATATATACACATATGTATATAAATATAAATATAAATATATATATATATATATATATATACACTATGTGTATGCCTCTCTCTCTCCCTCTCTGCCGCTCTCACTTAAATATTTTCTTTCCTCAATTCATGCGAAGCAGTGAAAGCAATCGTAGGTTGGTGGCTCTCAACCGCCATTGCTGCTGGCATTTCTCAACCTCAAACAGGCACGCCATTGGTTCACCGCGAAAGTTATCTTTGTCACGATTTGGTTACATGCACGAAGGGAGAGGACAAAGACTACATCGTCTTTCCGGCCGAGTGGAACTACGGAGATTTGGGTAGTAACCACAGAGCGAGTCGAGCGGCAAGGTTGCCGCAAGGCAGTACAAGTTCTGTGTTCCAGGTTGGCGAAAGACCATGAGCGCAGCAAAACTTCAAACAAAGAAAGTGCTGCACTGGAACGGCAACAAAAAGCCGTGGAACACTGCCTCGCTCTGAGCTGTCTGGAAACGGAACTGGCCTGCTATCAAATTTTGTGCTGTCTGACCAAGGATGGTCTTTACAGGGAAATGTGGTTACCACATCGCCAGGGCTTCTATTCTCTGCTGAAGCCGTACAGCGCGAACGCAGAGGGGGGCTCCACTCAAAGGTCGGTAGCCTAGCCTGCCCAGACAGGAAACAGAGCCCGTGCAGATGGTGCTAAGGCCACCGGATGCCGGACCGACGGCTCCGAAACCGAAAGCGAAAAAGAGTGGAGCACTGAGCTCTAGCTCTAGAGACGAAGACGCCCGCCTTTCGAGATGTTCTCACATCTTTCATGAGGTGGCCCCGCTGTCACTACGACCCTTAGCCCCGAAGAGCAAGCTGCCCGAGAAGCTTGTCCTTCGGTGCCGTCAGCTTTCAGCTTTGCCCGTTCAGCTTCTGTCTGTGTAACGTTATTTGCCAGGTGCGGCTGCTGGATGAGTGGGTTGAAGGAGGTCGATGCCTTAGAGGAACGGACACAGTTAAACGTTGAGAAACTATTTCCACTAGACGTGCAGTCCGACACCGGACCACACCTTCAGCACGCAAGATCTATCTGATCTGGCTTCGAGCCATCAGTGATGGCGCCAATGCGAAGTTACCGGTGCCGTCTGGCAGCCCGTGCCGGAGAAACAAGCCAGTTTGAACGCACAGCACGTACGTGTGTCTCTGCGCCTCAGCTCCCTTCAACACGATGCGCGGTGTAAGTGGGCTGCCGTCAACTGTGTAACTCAAGTCTAAGTGGCTTCTTATGTAACAGAACACAAAGTTTCCAGTTACTCGACGAGGTGCGAGCTGTGTGATGGGCAAGTCCTACGGCTGTCTGGATCCGCCGAAGGCGGATGGGATGTCGTTTCCTCAGCGAAGATTTTGGCAAACGGTGTGTAAGTTTGCTCTTTCGGTCTAGCTCGTTGTGAACTTTACACTTTACGCAGCCATCAATCACATTTTGTACATGCTACGCTGGGAGCATGGCGAATGCATCGGGCAAGGTATGCAATGGCTGGCTGTGCTGGCCTGTTCAGCGTGTCCAGTCCTGGGGCAGAAGAACGAAACCCTATTTTTAGAACTTGTTGCCGGGCAGCCTAAGGTCCGGCAAAGCCACAGTTTGTGGTGTTGGGCGCACGAAATGCGAGCCCGGAGCAGTTCCAAAGAGCGCTGACTGTGGGCCGGAAGCTTTGTCTTTATGTCCTGAGGCCGATTTGTGCTTGTGGCCTCCCTTGCTTTTTCGAGGCTCATGATTTTAACAAGTTATTTTACAACAAAGAAAGATTGGCAGCGGGGCAAGTACGTCAAGCCAACATTTTCCAAAATTCAGAGTCTTGGCCGAACATCAAAGTCAAGCTGCTTGATGGCTCCATTCCCGTTTGCTGCAATGTCACAGCGTGAGCTGAGGAAGCTTTACCAGACGGCTGTGACCAATGGCCTCAGTGTAAGCGTTCTGTATGATGTGCTTCCACAAGAGTTTCTTGAGACTCTGCTGCAGCTGTCGTTCAACGACTAACCTGTCCTGGTTTTGTGCCTTGATGATTCGTAAATTCGTAACCCGTTGAGGATATGTATTCCACCGAACGCTTCCGGTTTGTGCAAGTCAATCTCACCCAGTTTGACAAGAGGTGCTCCTGCAACAGCCAGCCAACCCTACAATCCATGTCCAAGTTCAACTCAATGACAGGTACGGGGTCAATGATGTGCGCTACTTCTTTTTTGAGAGGTTGGTGCAGCAGAACCGAGAGTGGAAGTACATCTTCATCGTTCCTTGTCGGCACTAATTTCTGAATGTCATCCGGTTTCTGCGGCTTTTCTGCAGCTGGCTGGCCTTCGGCCTTCTATTCTTTTGCTCCGCAGACACTGTCATTTACCATGCTCACGGGACAGGTTGATGCATTCGACGTGAGATCGGGCATGAATCCATGCTCTGGCATGCAGCCCGGCAAGATCTATGTCGGAGGTGAGCAAGACAGGCCGGCGGGCTCCAGCGGATGTTGGTGTTTAATGCTGCCAGGATTTTCCATCCTACACTGCTCCATACGCAGATAGGTAAAGGGCAAGTGCGGTTCGGCGACCGGAGGAGGGAGTAGGAAGAGCATGTTGGGTAAGATATGAACGACACAGGCTACAGAATTCTGGGTACAGGCTGTTAGCATGAATGTGTACAACGATGTGAAAACGGTTCTGCTCAGCGCACTTCAGCTGCGAATCACAGCAAACGGCCTGAGCTGAACTGGCATACTTGAGCGCAGTCGTGGGTGGCCCGTGGTCTGCAGGCTGAAGAAGCACCCATGGATGAAGGCCCGCTTCCAGAAGATGGGCGGTAAGTACAATCAGTGGTACACCACGAAGGTTACGGACAGTGGCAGCCTTGGCAACATGTGCCATGCCAGCGCGTGCATGCTTCATTGACTTGTCTTTGTCTGCATGGCCGCGGCGGCCTTGGCCATCCAAGAACTGAAGATCCTCAACTGTGGCCTCACGGGCGGCCAGCGAGACATGATGCTGAAGCTCCTGTCTCGCATGGTGCAGGTTTTGCAGGATCCGGCGCTTGCAATCCGGCAAAAAAACGAGGACATCAACCTGAGCCACGGCTTGTGCACTGGTGTGGTTTTCTGCTCGGTATAGTCATCTCGTCGTCTTCGGTTCACTGCAGCCTTCTTGATCTTTCTCTTTGGCTCCTATGCTCAGAGCTTTCGTGATCTGTCCCTTTTACGGTCTTGTTACCTTGTGTTTCTTCGCGCTCAGCTGTGTTGGGAGTGGGTGCTCAGGAACATGGCAGCACTCAACTACATCCTCTATGTCGAGTTTGATGGCAAGTTCCAATACGGACCGCCTGTCCATTCGGCGTACAAGAGGCGAGTCTTCATGCCACGCATCCCTGAGGGTTTCGCATCCAGACCCGCGCGCTGTAGGCTTTGTAGACATGGATCCATGATGTAGCATGGACAGGTTCGAAAACAAGCGGAAGGATGTCTGGTGGGTGCACAAGTGATGGTGTGGCGGAGCTTTTTGCGCTCGTTTCACACCCTTTCTTAGAGCATGCTCGGGCAATCTTCTGCGGCCCAGAAAATCTTGCACAAGACTACTTGCCACCGATCCTCGACTCCGAAGTGCACCTTCCTGAGGCGTGATAGGCGACGAGACACGTGCCCAAGCCAGAGGCCTCCAGACAACCCCAACCCTGTCCGAAATATGAGGACGAGTATGTTCTATCAGCTCCCCGCAACTGCCTGTTGTGCCCGCAGCTTGTTTCACTTGTCGGGCAAGGGCGGAGCCGGGGACCACACGCCTAACGTGACATGTTCGGATCGATATGTGGCGCCCATGACTAGCCTCCGGCCTCAGGTAGGTAATTTTTTCCAGCGAGTCAAGAGCTACTGGGCATCACCTTCGTTTTGTAGCGGCCCTCCACGATTTGAATGGCTGTTGGCGCTGACCCTTCTTCTCCCTGCACCGTGTTTTTCCGCTTGGACGAGAAGCTTGGTTGAAAGTTATCTGTCGTGTCCACTCGCACGGCACTTGCTTGGGTGTCATGTTGGAAGAGGCAGGACGCCCAGCTTCCAGAAACGCGGCCAGACGGACCCATCATCGCTTGTGACAGTGAGCCGCATGAGGACGAGCTGGAGGCCCCTCCTGACTCCTGCTGCTTCAGGGAATTCGCGTAATGAGAAAACTCTTTGGAGGTCCACAGGGCGAAGCTCGAGGAAGCTCGGGATCGCCAGCAAGTGACGGACCATTCCGTCACGGAGCTGCTGCAGTTCCTCGACCACACTACGTTTCATTCTTGCCCTTGTGCTTGTCTTCGGAGCATGCGGCCGCAGCCTAGGAAGCTGAACCAGCTTCCGGGAGTGTCGAGTCGCAAGCTCTCCGCTTCGACGCCTCGGTCGGGCCGGGTAGAGGAACGGCATCCTGACGTAGCCGCTGGACCCACCAACGCACTCCAGGAAGTAGGACTGCAGGATGCCGAGGCTGAGGTGCCAAAGAGAAAGAGGTGTGAATGGCAGCTGCAGTCGGGCCTGTCGGGCCTCGCGAGCTTGCCGGGTTCAGTGCAAGAAGAAAGAAGCATCGAAAGCCCCTCTCGCCGATTTCAGCGAGCAGTTCGCCAAGTGGTGCAAGGACCGAGGTCTTTTCAAACGCGCGAATTTCCTCCAGGCTGTCCGCTGTTTGCGATGACTGGGTTTCTTGACTCCAACATTCTATGCCGTCGCAGGAAATAGACAAGGCACCAGCTCTGGGAAGGCAGAGGCCAGTGGTTGCAGTTTGAAGTTACCCTCTTTAGAGGCTACGTCATTGTGGTTATTGGTATGAACCCTCTCTCTCTCCCCTAGTGCAGGATAGAAAGGGCCAAGCTCCCTGCTTCGCGGCCGTCGTGGCCGCGGCTGTGGCAGCCAGGAACGCCCAACAAGCGGGTGCTCAAGTGTTCCACACCCCGAGAGAAAAGATGCCAGAAGCGGAGACATTGAAGAGCAGAGAAGATTCCGGCCCTCAGGGCCCGCCGCCGGGCCAAGTGGGCGGGAACGTCGGCAGTTCCAGCTTGGAATTCCACACTCCGAGAGGTGGCCTGACGCCCGGAAACACCACTCCAAGAGGCTTTCGCCCTGCAGAACCGGCGGCGAAGGCTTCTCTTGGAGCTGGAGGTGTTTCAAGCCCCATCGCCACCCTTAGTGCACCCCGCAGCGCCTCGCCCTCTGTGAGCAGAGCGGCTTCTCCGGAGTGGACGCAGAGCTGCTTGGCCAATCAGAGCGCAAGTGCAGGGCAGATTGCGACGGCATGCTAGACTCTGCTACAGGTAGAGTTTTCTTTCGCATTCGCCCAGGAGGTTTAGCAGACCGGAGCTTGTCTCCAAGGAGCCGCAAGCCACAGCGTGATTGATGTGGCAACAGTCCTTTCATCAGTTTGTGCCTGCTTTCGAAGGACGCACCGGGCTTCGTCATTGAGTAGCAGTCCAGCAAATGGATCGCTACTGGCACGAGCCTCCGTGTGTTCCATGTCTATGGATTTATGAGTCGACTCCGGAGAGCGCCCATGTTGCCCGCAGCTGTGGCCCGAGCCCGGGTCAAAGTGGCTCAAAAAGTGCTTGTGCTATCCCAGCGAAAAGACGATGCCACGGGACAAGGACTCGGCCCAAGCCGAGATCGAAATTTTCTCCAAGTCGCTCAAAGCTTGGGTGCCTGGAAGGGTGTGGCTCTTTGCTTCAGCAGGGAAGATTACAGTCACGTACACGGTCAACGGCCACAGATGCCGAAAGCATCTGGATCCGTGGACGCAGCAGATTCGAGCTGTTGGGGAGAAGGACCCCGATTGTGCTGTGCAGGAGGACATGCAGGAGAACGTGGAAGTTGTGGGTGACATGCTGCCGAGTTGGGGCGAGGAGGCTGACCCGGACTTCAGCTTTACCCACCTTTGGGATGCCCTCTTCTGTGAGATGCCGATGAATGCAACTTTGAAGAATGCCATGCAGGCGGCAGCCCAGAAGCAGGAGCAATACTGCAGCGCCCGAACACACGAGGCTTCGGCAGCCTACGCAGAGGCCCAGCTCACTGAAGCCGAGGAGTGCTATGCAGAGTCTGGCGAGCTTTTCGAGGAGCGAAGTAGAGGTAGGTAGGATTCCGAAGTGTGTGTGTGTGTGTGTGTGTGTGTGAACCTCCCTAGCACATGGGAGCAGAGGGTCACTCCTACACTGTTTGCAATTTCGCTTTTCAACATAATCCGACATTGGACATTTACCAAATCAACTGTTTGCAGGGGGATCAGGCTTCCAGTGACTGACCTGATCCAACGAAGCTAGGTCACTGGAAGGGAAGTGAGTGAGGACGCTCAGTCATGTACCTGCACAATTTTCGGCAGCCCCCTGTGGTGCCAAGATTAGTCTGAGGACAGGCCCCCTGTGGTGTCCAGATTAGACAAACAATTTGTACGGTTGCCGCAATCTGACATACAGTTGCAACATGAACAACATTCCTCTTTTTGTCCTTTGCACTCGTACTCTTGGCCGAATCCATCAGTGTGATCAGCGTGGGTCGTTGAGACTCCAGAGCAACGGCTTTCCGTCATGGCGCCGTGGTGACCCTCCGGGGAGACCGGTGATGAACCGGGTGTTCAGCCTTCGTTCAGATCGTTCAGATTCTCCCGATGCAATTTTATCTCTCTCTCTCTGATGCTCGCATGTGCGTCTGACATGAGTGCAGGTGCAGTAATGGACGGCTAATGCAGTAAAGTGCGTCTAGTGAGCAGGTGCTACCTCGCTAGTCTGTCCTCTATTCGACCGCTTCTTTATTTCTCAGGGACTGCAAGGGCATGTGCAACTGACATGGGGGCAGGCGTGGTAACATGTGTCTAACGCAAGTGAAGCAGCGCTTCCTCCGGGAAGTAAT